AGTATTATCTTAAGCTGTTTGATTTGATTTTGACCCTCTGTTCATTTACTGGTAAAGGAATTGATTCTTCGAAATAAAAACTTCATCCCGATGCATATCTAGTAATTCTCTATGCACACTAGCCACGTCTTATAGGCAGATTTCTCGCCTTGAATAATTCATTTGACGAATTAGAAATGCTTTGCAAGTTAACATAATATGCACAATTGTTGCTCAGCAAGTCAATGTCATTGGAAAATACTGAGAGAATAACTTGTATTTTTCTTAGTAAGACATATGTTGAATGCTAATTTTTTTTAGATGAGGGTATCAAGGGGATTGGTTTTCTTCGGATCTGATTCGAATTTACAACATTTAATAAAAACCATTTCAGTATTCCAGTAAATTAAAAGAGATAAAACAACATAAAAACATAATTGATTTTTTTTGTTTCTCTGTACAAAAATATGCTTTTCTAACACAGATTCAGTATTATCGTGTTTGTTTAAGAAATAGAGTTGTGACAATACTATTAAAGTTCTTACCGATTGAAATGTATGCGCTAGTGACTAAGTCATTTGCTTTTTTTTTTTTCATTTTTGACTGAAATTTTAACTTTTTAAAACATTTTTTGACAAAGATATATATAAGCTATGTTGCAAAGAAAAAAAATTGTGAATATTCTTATAGTTTAGAAAGACATGGTTGAAAACAAAATTTATAAACAAATCAACAAGTTCACAAGAATTCTCTTAAGACTGTATTTTTTAAGAATCGAATAAGACGATCGAAAGATCCTGAACGTAAATTTCAATCACTGATCATAAATCTTCAAACAAAACAAAAGGCTTCAGATATCGGTATAAATGGAATTCTGATTTATCGGTCCGCCATTGACAGCAGACGTTCTCATTATGGCTTCCCGCCTCCTGAATGATCTCCGGGACCAATTAAAAGTTACAGAGCTTCGTAATTACGCGCCAACCTGTCACATTCTGTTTTGCATCAGACCAAATTGGAATAATCTGTCAAATGTGCAATTTAATTGAATCTCTCAAATTGGAGGAATGTGTTATAACAGTATTATTTGCTTCCTTCAGTATCCATTTGATTTTAATCATGTTATGTACGTAATTTGAGTTGCAGAATTAAAATCAATTTCAGATTCATTAAAAATGTAGGGAACTTCAATTTGAAGAAGACCGGTTAGTAACTCGCACTGCTTATGGGACCTGTTTTGAGGTCTGAGAAGAATTTCATAAATAAATGTTGTTTTCACAATATTGAAAAATATGCAAATTATGAAACCTTTGATTGTGACATAGTTTATTTCTTTAAGCTTTGGTTCAGGAGAGCAGAAAATATCGGAAATTTCAAAATAAGAGAAAACGTCAAGAATTATTAACTTTGATGATTAAAATTAATTGTTTATTTTCCTTATATTCTTTTTAAGATGCAAAGATCATGTAACAAAACAAAAATAAAACGAAAACATCATGCCGATATTTATTTTTCCACATTGATATTCACACATCATGATAATGCTGAATTATCAGGATTTTCTTAATTTTTTAAAAAGAAAAAAGTATACGAGCGGTGATCAAAAAGTTCGCGAACTATCTCTATATTAATTTTACAAAACCACAATTCAGATCAGAATGAAATTTGGCACACATAAAGTCATACACATATTCTATAAATGGCATATGTGATGGAACGTTTTCCCCCGTGTTTGTGACGTCACAATGTGAAAATGACGTCATAACGTAGATCACTTGTGACAATCAAAGTACTCAGAAGTACAGAGAGCCGGGCTCATTTACAGAGTAGAATGAATTTCTTACAGGAATTACGTTTATTTAAACAATAATATAAAATGCTTTCTTTGTAATTACTGGAATTAACGGAAGCAGCTGCTGCAGAAAAAAATATAAACATAACCCGCGTAAGCGGGTTATGTAAATTTTTTCTGCAATAGCTGCGACCGTTAATTTCGTAATAACAAACAAAGAAAGACATTTTATTGTTTATATTTAAATCTGTTTAAATAATCGTTTAAAGTAGGATTAAGAAGATTACTTATTGTATTGATGATGCGAACGTCTCTATACGTTTCATTGATGGAATAGCCACTGATCAAGAAATCTGAACAGGCGACATGCCTAATGTTCATGCAGTGATTAACGCAATGGGTTTTCTTAAGAAATAAAGGAGAAAATATTCAGTGGATGTAAATATATTCTGATGAAAAAAATATTTTAAAACTATCAATATAAATGATAAGACACTGACAGTGAGTTTTTCAATCCTAATACCACGGTCCGATTTTGTCCGAATCAGAATTAATCTGGTACCGCAGCTGAATGTAAACAAACTAGTCTCGTTCAACCAGACACTCGGCTGTCTCCGTAAATCTCCGACTCTGCTGGTCGGAGTTTACGGAGACAGCCGAGCGTCTGGTTGAACGAGACTATAAACAAACAGGCCAGTCTGGTTCCCTCTCCGGCCTTACCTCGTATGAGTAGAGAATTACGATAACACTGATTATCAATCAAAGTACTCAGAAGTACAGAGAGCCGGGCTCATTTACAGAGTAGAATGGATTTCTTACATGAATCACGTTTATATTCTGATGAAAAAATTATTTCAAGACTATCAATATAAATGATAAGACACTGACAGTGAGTTTTTCAATCCTAATACCACGGTCCGATTTTGTCAGAATCAGAATTAATCTGGTACCGCAGCTGAATGTAAACAAACAGGCCAGTCTGGTTCCCTCTCCTGCTTTACCTCGTATGTGTAGAGAACTACGGTAACACTGATTATCAAAAATCCTTACGCTAATGAACTATGTTCTTTGACTTAGGAAGTTTTCAAAGTCATTACTACTAATGTTTATTTTATATAGATAAAACTTCGTTTTATTTTTGTTGCTTTATTTAGCGTTTGTATTATCTCAAAAGCGGTTGAGAGTAAGAACTATATTTTTGCACGTAACTTCAAAATGGCGACTATGGGGTCAACATCCTGCCTTGAACAGGATCACATAAGCCGGCAATTGCTCTTTGAGCAATAAGCCCGGCTAAAAATGGTTGACTCAGTCGTATTCGAGAAACGAACGGCTGTAAAATTAAACGTACATCTTGGAAATTCCTTTTTAGAAGTTTATAATAATTTGTACACGGTTTATGAAGACAAAAGACTTGCCAGAAGTTTTGTCATTAATTGGATTAATTGTTTTAGTGAAGGAAGGGAGATGTTGAGAAATGATGTTTGCTCTGTTGCCCTGTGAAAGCAAACTTGGAGAGAGACCTATCCTTTGTTAAGCAATTTGATATAAAAGATCGCCAACTTACAGTTAGAAAAATAGATGAATATCTTTACAATAATATAATTATCAAATCCCTAAAATATCGTTTACTTTAGACTTTAAACATATCAGATATGATAAAAAGAAGGCACCCATACTTTATCCACATGAAATAAACGACGCTCAAAAGACAGATGACTTGGATTTTGATGGTCACCATGCGCATTCTGCAAAAGAATATCATTATCCACCCATACTATTTTAGAGATTAGGCCATTTCTGACAATTAGACCGTTTTTGTTGGAAAAAATAACTTGCATGGCTAGAAATATAAGAGTCAGAAAAAAATTTAAGCTTCTGTGACAGAACGCTAAGGAGCATGTCACGTGACCGCCTATATCACGTGATCTGCGCATGGGGAGAATGGTTGCAGATGCGTATTAAAGTCGGAGAGGACAATTTCAACACTAAAGATGACGGACTATTTTGCGTGTTATCTGTAAGAATCACGTGTAAATCATTTATAGTAGAAATACCCATGAAATGGTCAACTGAACGAAGTTGTGCTAGCATCAAGAAGTTACGTACAGGAAAATGTTACACGTCTTTGTCCGCCATATTAGTCTTCTCATGAATGGTGTTTTCCAGTCGCTATATAAGCCTCAGCTTTGTTCGAGTTCAAAGTTCATTATGTAATATACGCAGCAGTGACCAGTTAAAAGCAGTCAGGTGTAACGAATATACTAGTATACCCAAGTGCTGACATAGGAGTAGGAAAACTATGGGGTATGCGTATTTACGAATTTTGTTCAGCTTTAAATCCCCATTTATACATACTCATAGTTACTCATTGCACAGTAACACTTTACATAATAAGAAGCACCTATAAAACAATAGCCATAGGGCTATATGTAACTATGAAAGTTGCAGAAGGTTAGAATTGCTTTTGCTCTCGGTAGTGTAACTGAACAAACAAACATTCATTTTAAAATTTTAATAAATCAGTAAGTAAATGTAATTGAAAAAACGACTTGAATGTTTGAACAAAAAAAGTAAACAAGGCTCCATATGAGGATCGAGCCAGTCATTCCTCGATATCTGAGTGATCTGTGCTGGAGACGCGTACTATAAGCTATCGCGGCTTCTCAATGGATACTAGTAATATATGAAAATTTAACTTTAAAATGTCGGAAATAAAAGTTACAAAATGTCGGTAATAAAAAAAATGGATATTTTAAAAAATCACCGAAAATGAAATGCAGCCGTATAAAGATTTTAAAACGATAATGAAGCACCGCATTATTATAAAATCGTATTATTTGGGGGGGGGGGGGGGGGGGGGGGGGGTATGGCCTCTGGGTCTTTAAAAGTTTTTTCGCTTTAATAAAAAATAAAATGCACAAAAATATGTTTTTTTTAAATCATGAGGAGATGAGACAAAAAAACAAGTTTTTAGAAAAAGGAGGTTTTTTATCTGAAAAATGTAACATTTTTTTACCAAATGACTCAAATACTTGAAATCCTTATTCCAAGTTTTGTTTTTAACAAATCAAAACACCCTTTGGCAAAATCTCTCTCATTCATAGTTAATAGGAACCTTATACATTAAAATAATGCAAAAATTTCATGTGATAGTGAACTCAAAAAAGTTTTCCAGCTGAACAGCTCTTTTATAAACAAAAAATTAGAATTCTGATTTTTGGAATACTTAAAGCATCAATTTTAGAAAACAAAGAAGTAGAGGGAACCAGGATAGAATTAGTCCTGACGCTGTACTGGCATCAGACTCTGGGCTCAGAAAGTCCACTCCTCTTTGGTACTCATACGTGGAATAGAAGCAGGAGGCTGTGACCTTTTGATATTTTCCTTCTGATTTCATACCAAACTGCAGACTACACGTGCTCTCTGCAACGTCACTCATCAGTTCATTGAAGGTCATGTGGAATTTTCCCACGCCATCAGACAAAAGGCTTAGATTACCTATTCCAGCAGAATTCATTTGAAAGGATAGTTTCTGCGACTCCACCTCCCTTATTTTCATAGTCCCAAAGATTCGATGACCGTAATCACCCGTAAACTGGTTCACATTCATTTGGATTGGTTGGACTGGTTGTGTGTTATTGTTTATAGGGGTGGCACCAGTGCTTTTCCAGGGGGCGGGGAAACTACAGATAGTGTTGTTGTCCAGCCATTGGCTCTCGCCGAGAAGAATGTCTGAGAGAACGTAGGATACTGGCGCAATAGAATTCTTATAATTGATGTACCAGGGACCATTGATGGTTATCACAAATCCAGCATTCTGATCAGGGAAGAAACCAGCTACTGCGGAATATCCGTACCAGTTTCCAGGATGAAGCAGCTTTTTATAACCTAGAACAATATGAATATAATACTGTCTAGTATTAATTTGAGGGGGAAAATGCAAAAACGAATACCGTATATCTTCAACTGGAATTCTTCTAATTTGATTCATAATATTCACACAATAAACATTTATTTTCAATATGCTGAACAAAATGATAGTATCTTGCAAAACCCAGTGTTGTTTATCTAAAATATTATATAGTGGATTTATATGCTTGGTATAAAGAGGCCTAATGCTTAACTGAAAACAAAAGAATGATATAGATAAAAAAAAAAATTGCTCGAAAATCCAATTGAACAACACAAATTTAGAGAAGAGCACACTTGAAACCCTAAAAAACACAGAGGTTTAGGATCAGTAAACTTCTTTATCTTCAGCTTCATTCATGACCGAATGTACGGAGAAATCCCTGGAATTTTTTGTTAGGAACATAATTGGTTTAACTTCTGTGAAAAACAACACATTGTAGAAGCAAACGACATTATTGTATCTACCATCTAGAATTAGCAAATTATACCGTTGTTGATGCCTTTGTCTCATCAACTTATTCCTCAGAAGCCGACATCGCTTTAGAAATTGTTTATATATATACAGAGCATACTTTTGTCCATCCATTCTCTGAAACACCAAATGCAAATCATTACAGTACATTGCTACATATACAAAGAAAGAGTCTGTAAGAAAGTTTATCATAAAGTTTAGTTGTGATAAATTTTGCTTCCAATGTGTGTCTCTAGTAAAACATCCAAATATATACTAGTAAACAACAGATATGTGAAACTGGGTACACTAGTCTTTCATTTTGAGTTCAATCTGGTATAATTGTTGAATCGGTAAATATTGATAATTAATTTAAAAACATTGTAAATATACAAAACTCTCTTAATAAAGGCCACAGAAAGAAACTTCTTCCTTTCATGTCGAACTTTCTTTTTTAATTTTTGAATAATCTTGAGAAGAATGAAAAACAGGTTCCTTAGTACGGGGTACGATTATTCCATGAGTATTCTATTAGATGTTTGGTAGAACAGGTATCTAAAGACTACATACTGTTGCATGTCAATATTTTCAAAAGGAACTTCAATACGGTTTTATTATCAACCTGAGTACGGTATTTGTATGAAGAATCAGATTGGATTTTTTTAGAGTAAATTTAAAGATGACCACTGACATGGTGTGAAAACTGAAGAGTCCCATTTTTATTGAGTAACAACTTGTGCATGATGTCAAAAACACCTTCCTTTACTAGTACTTAATTCCGGGGGCGGGGTGTTATAAAAAGTCGTACGTTTTGATGCTATTGGTCTTGACATGAGTTGGTGTTCTCAAATTATCTTAATTCAAAGTTCTTTGGTATTTTTGATTCCCTATTTGATTAGCACCACTTCTCAAATATGCCGTTGATCATTCTGTATTCATAGATTTCATTTTGGGAAGAGCATTGTCTTTCTCCAGGATATGATATTAGCAATATTTGTCATTACAGAGATTCATATCCATACCCTGGTACAATTACCAGATCCGCAAAAACTTATACCTCTGTACCACCATACAATCAATACCAGATCCCAAAGATCCTACCCCTGTATCACTATACCATCAATGCCAGACCCCAAAGAACCTACCTCTGTACCACTATACCATCAATGCCAGATCCCAAAAAACCTACCTCTGTACCACTATACCATCAATGGCAGATTCCAAAAAACCTACCTCTGTACCACTATACCATCAATGCCAGATCCCAAAGAACCTACCTCTGTACCACTATACCATCATTGCCAGATCCCAAAAAAAACTACCTCTGTACCACCATACAATCAATACCAGATCCCAAAGAAGCTACCTCTGTACCACTATACCATCAATGCCAGATCCCTAAGAACCTACCTCTGTACCACCATTACATCAATGTCCGATCCCAAAGATCCTATCTCTGTACCATCATACAATCAATGTCAGATCCCAAAGAACCTATCTCCACAATACCAGTTCCATGAAATCTTACTTTTGTAGTTATGGCAAAATCAGTCATAACTGTACTAGCCCCTGACCTGATGTTAGCTCTTTACTAACCACCATACAATCCATAATCATACTATATCACCAAGAACATACCTCTGTCGGACTCACCATACCATCTATAAGCATAAAGTATGTGGATATATAACGAACAGTATTCGAACTGAAAAGTCCGTTAAACATTACACATTAGGAGTGGAGCAAACACGGACCTCCAAAACATCAGAGGTGGGATCAGGTGTTATGGAGGAGTGAGCATCTCCTGCCGAACGGTCACACCCGTCGTGTACTCCTTGTTATGATCGGGAAATAACGAAAAAAAAATCCGTGGACAACTCAAAATTAATGGCCTAACAATTAATATATGAAAAAGTAAGTCAACATTTAACTTAATGATAAATTGTATTTGCTGTATCGACCATAAAACTTGCGAAATGATGACTTTAAACGATACTGCTTATATCCTTGCTTCATCGACTTGTTTGTCAATAACTTACCTCGTTTTAGAAATTGTTCATACGTAGAACATGCTCTGTTATACTGTCACGAAGACCTTACCACAGTACGATCCACCATAACATCCAAAATTTATACCAGATCCCGAAGAACCTACTTTTTATAGAGCCCGCTATACGAGTACTATCAATGCCAGGTTTCTTAGTACATATGTACTTACCTCTGTAGGATCCACCATACCACCCATAACCATACCAAGTATCTGAGGCCTGAACAGGATAATCGTCGTCCAGAAAGAATCGACCTATAGACCAATCATCTAAGTACATGTGAGGATTAACCATTTCTTTGAAGACGTCTGGATGAATTAATTGGTGTCCATCCACTGTCGATCCCCCCGCGGATATAAACTGGATCCATTTAGCCAGATCCTGTGGGGAAGCTGATACACACCCGGCTGGACCCACATCACCAATTCTATTGTAGTATTCAAAGTAAAAACATACGACAATGACGTATATTTATGTTATGGAAAAATCAACAAAAACGTCTTTAAAAATATTAACCCTTGATAAACTTAATTTTGTCAATTTACACTTGAATTTATGAACCGTATTTATAGTTAACGATTTGTGAACTAGCGTTTTTTTTTTTTATTCTCAAAACTGAATTTTTCAGTTGTATATACATCTACTCTAGACAAACTCTGCTGTCTGTAAATAATCGTAAATAATAGTGGTATTCTAAATTCTAATTTTAAGCTAAAAACATTGACATTGATTAACCACTGTTAGGAGTTAATACTGTAATCATAATTTGAAAAATCGTAAACCTATATGTTTCAGATAAAATTTGGTTAACTTTCGTTTATTTGAAGATTTTTAGTGGTAAACCCATAGATAGCTATATTTTATATGAGTTAAAGACATATAATGACCAAAAAAAAAATAATTGTGAGGTTCACTTTTTTTAATATATATGTAATCATGATACATCTGTATTTTGAGACATCGAATACTTGCTGGTAAATAAGTTCATTTCCTAATCGCAGTCCTTCTCCTGCGTTATGATATGGAAGTGCGTATTCAGTCTGTGAACTATCGGGATAAATGTTGGTCCCACAAACAGTCTGAAACATTCCAAGTGCCCTCAAAAGTCTATTTTGTACCAGATCTTCATATTTTTCGCCGGTCCATACTTCCGCCACGTGACCAGCTATTGCGTAAAGTAGGTCATTATAGATCCATTGATCCCGAAAAGCAGCGCTTCTTGGTAAATACTTCAGTCTCCTAGGATCAGAAATATATTTAGTTTATTTACATACTGACTTAATGTTACTTATTTTTAACTGTTTTCAAAACGTTTCTGATGTGTTCGTGTACAATATAGGCCTAAGATTTATATTAATACACATGTATTTTAACCTACTTTAAAAATTCACTCCGGCCTATTTTCGGCACTCCAGTGTATACATCCGCCGGACTGAATCCAGTGCGTTGACCCAACAGATCCAATATGGTAATCTCGGACTCAAGAAATTTGTTTGGCAGATTGAAGTTCTCTTTGAATACAGAAGATAGTTTTGTAGTCCAATCTCGGCTGAAATCAAAATGGGTTACATTAGTTAGAATAATTAATAATATACATTTAAATGGGCATGGATACAGTTTCAACTGAATTTTTTTTTTTACCGATTTTAATTTTTACAATTCCTAACTAAGGCAATTCTAATGATCAGCAAAAATTTAAACATCATTTGTTGATTTACAAAGGAGATACAGGACTGAGAATTCTTCACAATGTAAACAAGACTCGTGCCTTGTTTTCGTTTACATTTAGAAAACATCATGTTTATAACAAAACGAGATTAAGAGAATCGTTAGAAAGTGTCTAATTGTATTTAGAATTAACTTCTTTATTGAAACAAGATGTGTTTGTAAAACACTGATGCCCCCGTATGGCAACATAGCAAAGATTAAGCTTTTCTTAAATGCAAATTTAATTAATTGGTACCAAACGTAGGGTGTTCTCACTGGAAAACAATTGTGAAATTTGAAAGTAAGCTAATGTTTAAGTTTTTTAATAATTACAAAAATCTCAAAATCTACAAAAAAGGTCAAGGTCAAAAGGTCAATGTAATTAGTATCAAATGAAAGGTCTTGCCACATAAAATACTTTTGTAGAGCATGAAAGCCCTAGCCCTAACCGTTCAAAAGGTATGGTCAACGTTCAATTTCCTAAAATGTAGGTCAAACTCCAAGGTCAAGGTCAAAGTTATTGTTCTCAAATGAAAGGTCGTGTCATAATGATCAAATATGTAAAGAATGAAAGCACTAGCCTTAACTCTTTAAAAGTTATGGTCAAGATTTGCTTTTTTAAAGTAGGTCAATCTCAAAGGTCAAAGGGTCAAGGTTGTTGGTATCCAGTGAAAGGTCTTTTAACAAACATTAGATTTGTGAAGTATAAATGTCCTGGTGTCTACTGTTTAAAAGATATGGCCAAAGTAAAATTTTAAAATTTTCATATAAAAGTGGTTCAAACTCCAAGGTCAAGGTCAAAAGGTCAAATTTGGTGGTACCCAAAGAAAGGTCTTGTCACAAGAAATACACATATGAAATATGAAAGTCATAGCTCCACTAAATCAAAAGTTATGGGGAAGGTTAAAGTTTTTGCGGACAAACAGACAAACAGAGAGACAGAGACAGACAGACAGACACGACAAAAACTATATGCCCCCGAAACTTCGTTTACGGGGGCATAAAAATCTGCTTTGACGAACACATATCAGCATGTTTAACCTATGTAAACAAAAACACGCTCGGTCCTTGTTTACATAACAAATGTTTGGAGCCCTAAATTAAATCTGCCTTGACAACTAGAATTAAAAAAAATTGCTCATCATAAGAAATACCTTAGTTAAGTATTTGTAAACAGAAAAAAAAAGGGTATGAAAATTTATGACTGAAACTGTGTCCAGGCCCCTTTAAAGTATATCATTGCGGGAGTTAGCAAGAATCCAATTCCCCAAGGTCAGGACTATTTCCAGGGGCGAAGGGGAACTGGAATCTTGCTAATTCCCGTAATTGTATACTTTTTAACTGTTTTATTATGCCAATTCAAACGTACAATTTAGAGGATTCGGATAGCGTGATTTCAAAGCAGGAATTAGCTCACTGAACTAACACACGGGGACAAGTCCATTCATAGATCATACCAATGTAAAAGTAAAATCTAGAGGATTACGGATAACCGGGAATTAGCTTTCGAAGCAGGGATTAGCTCACTTGACTAACGCACGGGGATTAGTCCATTCATAACGATTTCTAGGGAATTAGTCACATCTAAGAGGAACTTCAGTAAAGATATAAAACTAACTGTGTCTCGCGACAAGCACTCACGTCTCTGTAGCGAAATTATTTTGAAAATATCAAATGGTTTGCCTTCGAATCAGTGCGCTTAAAATCGAGGCTTTATCCTTCTTGAGAGGATTTCTAAAGATTTTTCTTTCACATACAAAGACCTGGTAAAAATTTGCAACTGTGCAAAACACTTCAATTCAAACATATGTATTTTATTTTATTATAAAAATTATTTCAAAAGTTAAATCAATTTGAAATTTTGACTCGTAAGTATGTTCTCAGTTTATGGCCCTGGGGACAGCATAATAATCTTTTTTTTTCTTCAATTTTTAACCCGACCCTCAGTCCTTTTAGAATTTTAAGAGTACTAGTAACCATGTACTTTCAATATGTTCTCAGTTATAAGTCACACATCTAGATATACATGAAAGTTTAGACAGAAAATCATTTGCGTCTTTATTTGTGAGACAAGATCGTCGAGAGTCGTGGTTATTGCTCCCTGATCCAGGGCTGACGAATTCTCCGACTAAGAGGTTTTCCCCTTGATTTTAGGATATTGGACTTAGTTCTTTAAACATTTAAAAAAAATTCAACACGGGAGGGGGGCTGGATCCGCCTTTGTATTTCCAGTATCCTCTACTAAGACATCCTTACCTTACTGATTGACCACGAGCTTCAGTTATCAATACTCCTAATAATGCGGTAGTGAAGGCTTTTCCAAGGGAAGCTATGTATATTGGTGTCGTTTCCGTAAAATTTACAGGTGGATCAAGTCGGGCGAGTCCATATCCCTTGGCAAAATATTTTCTACCCCGTATCATCGAGATTCCCACTCCTGTGAAAAATAAAAAAAAAAAAAAACGTTTATTGCTTCTTAACTTCTTCGTGTGGTTCATTTTCATTATCCCTAGTACATTAAATTTATACACATGTATCAAGTATTTTTTGTGAAAACTTTTCTCAGAAGATTATACAAGATGGTTTTCCCCTTTTTATTCCCATTAAAATAAAATTTGACAAGTTTTATTGTAACCCCAACCTTGGTTATATGTGTGATGATTTCGCTGAACATGAAACCACATACCAGGGTAACACAGGGATGCTTCAATATAACAGAATGACTAACGTGGTTTTTACTCTTGAAGGGGATTTAATAAAATAATTTTTCATTAATCATGTACATGCATTACGCGTAATTTTGATTTGAAGTCCAACCCATACTCTAGGACATATACACTAGTATCTAGTCATCTGTATATTAAGTGAGTTATCATATTGTAAGGGGAGGTAAATGCGATATATTATGTAAATTTTGGCGCTTAACTCTCCCTAGAAAATTCAACATTTACAACATGATAAATGATAAATGTAAGCTACTATTTATTGATATGTTAATTTCTAAATCGACATGCCTGTAGATTTCATTCTCTTTCGTCTGTATTATAAATTATTTCATCTGTATTCTTTATTAATTAAGGAATAACTGTCTAATTTTTTGTTTTCATGATGTGATCAATCGAATGGTTTGATTGATAATTTGCATAAAATAATTACGCAAGACAATCGATTGATCATCGTCATGAAACCAAAAAATCTGACTGTTATTCCTTATATTTAGTATACATGCTCTTGATTCCGCAAATCCACATGCTACAAGTTCCGCTTCTGTCTCCGCCCAGCACGTGATTTTTTCTTTAACCGCGCCTTTTTAAACCATAGTAGATTTATGTAGAAATAAATTATTTTTACTATTTGCAATTTTATCTCGGATGAAGACATTGGAAATGTAAATTTTAATAAGTATGTAAGTAAAATATACCCTTTTCCACATCACATCCTGTCTAAGCCCTCGGGCCTTCACCCTTTGGCTGATATTGGTGTCTTGGGCTGACACTGAATATGATATGGAAAAGGATATGTATTATTAGCTATGTACGATATGTATACCAAACACGGATCTGTTACTTCAACAAATTATCAGGAGACGAAACAACGTAAGCTTTCAAACTTGTTTCCGAATCCTATTTAATATTTGCTTATTTCCCGGTGTTTTTCCATCTACATGTACCATAAATAAAACGACCCAAAGTTGTTCTGTACTCAATCGGATCACCTCGCCCTTTTCCGTCGAATGCTATTTCTAGCATGCGACGGAAAAGGGCGAGGTGATCCAATCGCAGCTGTACTTTCATATAAAATTTTGTTTAAACCGATCGCCTCCGTCTTGTCAAATTAGATAAAATTAGCATAATTTGTTTCTTATATAATTATTTATTAATCATATCGTCTTATGACGAGTTTTAAGTCAGCTGATTTTGATACGTATACATTTAAAATTTTTAAAACATATTTTCCATTTTAGGAGTAACTTTAATTACGCCTTTCATGTGTGTAGTATACAAGGAGAGTGGGCGATCCAAATTGTATGTTAATGCTTTTGCAAGAATGATCTCTTATACTGATTGAAATAACTTGCCTCCAATTCTTCAGAAAACAAAATAGTAAAGTGATTTGTATAAATATCTATATAATTTTTTTGGAAGAGGTCCCAAAAGTCCATGGGTGCATGGATTTTATTTAAAATTTTAATGTCTTGTGGATTCTCCAACATTTGGTATTAACAAATTCCCAATGGCGGGAATCGGGTGCTTGCAGCAGTGAGGTTAAGGTTAAGCGATCAATTTATCCAAAAATGGCGAAATATATAAATAACTCATCAAAAGGGTCAAATTTACAAAATTAAGAGAATTTTTTTGAACGTGAAAAATACCTTATTACATATTTTATCTAGTAAACGTCCAAAATAAAACCAACACTTCCGCCAAATATTGTACACGCCAAATATAATTATATCATATATTGATTATTTTTTCACAACTTATATTCTACCTCATGTACCACTGATGTTGGTGGGAGTGAAATATAATAAATAAAAATGAACTTGAAAAAAAGCTTTAATCTTTTGTCTTATGACGTATTTTCGTAGGATCGAACTTCTTTAAGTACAATTTTTTTTTCAAAAACTACCATGCACTAACCCTTCTTTTTTAAAGTAAGTAACACCAGTCTGCATTAAACAGGTGAATGAGAATGGTGATCCTATATACGCATTTTCCGATAAAGAGAAAATTGAATTACTAAATAACTTTTTTACATCCATCTCTGATATAAAAGATGAGGAATATGAGCTACCTAATTTTGAGTCCAAAAATGTAGAAAAACTTTGTGACGTAAATATCCAAGAAAGTGAGATTATTGATATTATTTCTATCCTGCCCGTAAATAAAGCTGTGGGCCCTGATTGTATCAGCCACAAAATGTTAAAATCTTGTAAAGAATCCATAGCTAAGCCACTTTGTCTGTTATTTAATAAATCTCTTAGACTCAAAGTTTATCCTGAAAGTTGGAAACTAGCACATGTCCTTCCATTATTTAAAAAGGATGACCCATCAGTCACTTCAAATTATAGACCTGTATCTCTTTTGAGTTGTGTAAGTAAAATATTTGAGAGAGTTGTATTCAAACAATTTTTTTCACACAAATAATTTGTTCTACAAATATCAGGCAGGTTTTCTGCCTGGTCACTCAACTGTGTACCAACTTTTAGAAACTTATCATACTATTGTAAAAAGTATTGATGAAGGGCAATATTGTTGTATGGTTTTTTGTGATTTATCAAAAGCTTTTGATAGGGTTTGGCATAGGGGTTTGATTCATAAATTAAAAATGTATGGTATCTCCGGTAATATGTTAGAATGGTTGGAAAGTTACTTGTACAATAGAAAACAGAAAGTTATGTACAAAAATTTATTTTCTTCTGTGAAAAATGTGCATGCTGGGGTACCTCAGGGCTCTGTCCTTGGCCCTCTTTTATTTTTGATATATGTGAATGATGTAGCTGAAAACATGATAACTGTTTGCAGACTATTTGCAGACGATAATTCTTTACAAAAAAGCTCGAGTGACGTTCGTCTCATTGAACATTATCTAAATCATGACTTAAAAATTCTGGATGAGTGGTCCAAAAAATGGTTAATGAAATTTAATCCAAGTAAAACAAAGGTATTATTCTTCAGCTTAAAAAATACAAACCAGTTACCTGAATTATTTTTTGAAGACTGTCAGTTAGAATATGTATCTCAACATAAACATCTTGGTGTTATTTTTTCAACTAAATTAGGTTGGTCAGATTATATTGATAGTATTGTCAGTAAAGGCTACAAAAAACTAGGACTTCTCAAGAAACTTAAATTTTCAGTGTCTAGAGATACGTTATCCAAACTTTACACTTCTTTTATTCGACCACAACTTGAGTATGCATCTGAAGTTTGGTCAGGCTGTTCGTTGGCAGATATTGATAAACTTGAAAAGCTTCAACTGACAGCCGCTAGAATAGTGACTGGTCTTTCAGTATTAGCATCAAGAAATTCGTTGTATATTGAAACAGGTTGGGAACCTCTTGTAATAAGAAGAGACAAAGCAAAACTTTTAACAATGTTTAAAATCCACAATAACCTAGCTCCTGATTACTTAAAAAACATTGTACCGATGGTTAGAAACACTGTTTCAAATTACAATACTCGAAATTCATTTGATTATTCTTTACCTAAATGCAGGCTTGAATTATACAACAAATCATTTGTCCCTGATACTGTTCGCAAATGGAATTCACTAAGCAACGAAACAAGGGAAATAACCTCAATAGGAATTTTTAAAAGAAAATTGAGTAATAATAATGATAAGCCTCCCAAGTATTTTTCATATGGCAAAAGGTATCTGAACATTTTACATACAAAATTAAGACACAATTGTATTTTAAATAATGATCTGTATAGATGTAATATCATAAGTAATCCAAATTGTTCTTGTGGTATGAAAGAGGATAGTCATCATTTTTTCTTTGTTTGTAGAAAATATTTTGAACCTAGACGCCTAATGATGAATGCACTACTTTTAACTTATAATGTAAAAATGATTAATGTGCACAAATTGCTATGGGGAGATGATTCCTTATCTTCGCAGGAAAATGAAAAAATTTTCGGTATTGTTCAAAAATTTATTCACGAATCAGGTCGTTTTAATTAACACTATGTAAATTGTATTATCTCTATTGAAATTATTATATTTTTATAATATCAACACTGTATTTATTATCACCATTATTAATACCTGGTAATTGATATTATTTCCTCATTCAGAAAACAATTATCTTTGTTCTTCTATGTATATGTATTTATTATTGTAAAATTTTGTAAAGTATGTTGTATGGCTATGCAAATTTTATATATGGGAGAGGACTACCTAAGTTGTTAGAACTTGTGTCCGATCCCTTTGACATATTGTCAATAAAATATGTTCAAAACAAAACCAGTCTGCAACGTGTCCGTTGAAAGTGGGGGTGGGTGGGGGCTAAACCTATGCCCCAATGTTTAATGGGTTTGTTCCCGTTTTGCACACATTTAATTACAGGTAATTAAAAAATGTGTGAAAAATGGGAATTTGACCAGGTGAGATTATTACTTAATTGCTATAGTCTATACTATACTTAGCTTAGTAAGTATGTGAAAGATGAACTTATAGTGAAAAAATAATAGAATATATATACAAAGTATTGTATTTATCTTTAATTCATTTAGAATTATATCAAGATTGAAAAGTACATATTCTTTTTTTATGAAATTGGACTTAATAATAAATAATATGAAACAAATATTGATAATTTATTCAATGAAATCAAATATTTTCCCATAAATATATGTAGAATTTTAATAAAATGCTTATAAAATTGTATTAAACCTCTTAAGAATACATTAAGCTAAATCAGGTATTCACAGGTAAATCCAAACCAGAAATCAGACTATAATTGCTATCAAAACACAATTCATACCTGTTATTCTATACTAATTACCAAATGTGTGCAAAACGGGAACACACCGTTGACTGTATTATGTATATCTTTGCCAAAAAAGTTGGGGGTGGGGGTGGGGCTGAGTCCCTGAGGTGTGTTCCCGTTTTGCACATATTTGATAATTAGTTATAGAATAATAGGTGTGAAATGTGTTTTGCTAACAATTATAGTCTGATTTCTGGTTAAGATTTACCTGGATTTACCTGTATTTTACCAATGTATCATGAACAGGAAAAATAAATATTAATGTAATGTATATGAATAGTTATTGGGACAAGCAAATTCAAAGAATTGTGGTCCCCCGCTTTCGGTGTCTTTGTGGTGAGATGTCAAATATGAACGCCCTATCATATGTCATTTAGAAATTATCACCAAAGTTGAATTTAAAAAAAAAAATAAGGTCAATCGTGAAGGCCAAGGTCAAGGAGTCAGAAATCATAGCATGCTTGGAAATATCTTGTCATAGGTAATGCACATGTCAAATGTGAAAGCCCTATCTCTTCTCAATCAAAAGTTAAAAGGAAGAGGGTGCGTTTGTGAAACACTGATGACCCCGTATGGCAGCAAAGCGAAGATTTAACTTTTCTTTAATGCATATTAAATATATTGGTACCCAAATTTAAAAAGTAAGTCAAACTCCAAGGTCAAGGTAAAAGGGTCAAAGTTCTTGGTATCCAATAAAAGGTCTTCTCACAAGGATTACATATGTAAAGTATGAAAGCCCTAGCCCTTACCATTCAAAAGATATGGCCAAGGTTAAAGTTTTAAAAAAGTAAGTCAAATTCAAAGGTCAAAGTTCATGATATTCAACGAAAGGGCTTGTCATAAGGATTGAATATGTGAAGTATGAAAGCCCTAACCCTTCAAAAGTTATGGTCAAGGTTAAAATTTTTAAAAAGTGGGCCAAACTCCAAGGTCAACGTCAGAAGATCAAATTTCTTATGATCCAATGAAAGGACTTCTTACAGGGATTACATATGTGAAGTATGAAAGCCCTAGTCCGTACCGTTTTAAAGGTATGGCCAAGGTTAAAGTTTTTTTTCATAAGTACGGAAATCTCCAAGGTCAAGGTCAAAAGGTCAAAGTTGTTGATATCAAATAAAAGGTCTTGCCACAAAGAATATATATGTGAAATATAAAAGTCCTAGTATTTACCGTTCAAAAGTTATGGCCAAAGTAAAAGTTAAACATTTTTGTGTAAAAGTGGGTCAAACTCCAAGATCAAGGTCAAAAGGTAAAATTTGGTGGTACCCAAAGAAAGGTCTTGTCACAAGAAATACACATGTGAAATATGAAAGTCATAGCTCCACTAATTCAAAAGTTATGGGCAAGGTTAAAGTTTTTTTGACTGACGGACAGACAGACAGACAGACTGACAGACGAATGAGATTTAATGTCCCCTCGCTTTCGCGAAAGCGGGGGACAAAAAGTAAATTTATTGAATATTTTATTTAATATTAATTATTATATGTAAAAATGACTCCCATTTCTTGAAAAACAAATAATTTTTAAAGCCGAAGAAATTATTTTTAAAGCCGAAAATTCAGAAATTGACACCGATTAACCGATTACTATTCATGATTAATTATTTAGTATAAATTTCTATTTTGTTATAAAAGTAAAGAAATAAATGAAAACTTGTAATGCACATAATAATTTTTGTTGGTTTAATTTCTAATTTTATTTTCCAATTCTCTCGTGTAGGTTCACCTTTCTCCTATCTACCAACTTTGGTATAGACTATACCAATTAAGTGATTATCTCACCTGGTCAAATTCCCATTTTTTCTATGCCTCATATTCAAATGTGTGCAAAACGGGAACCTGACTAGGTTCCGACGCCTTTGATTACTTAATAATTCTTACCTGGAATGTTTTTACATTTCATCCAATCTTTCACAATGGAGTCGATTAAATCGGTTTCATTTTGCGAAAAAGCTTCCTGGCAAGTCCCTGGATGACCAAGCAAAACAAAATGAAGGACTAGAAGGAACCAACGAGCCATTATAATTCACTGAAATAGAAAAAACAATTACATAGCAGCAATGACTTCTCTGTTAAAGAAAGACGTTTATGGCATCTTTTAAAATTATTTAATCGTTCTTTCAAAGTCTTTTTTTTTCTGGTATTTGAGAAATCTTTATAAAAGAAGAACTCAAGTTAATGATATCTTGAATGAATGTATTAATTTAAGGGAATTTTCTCAAGATTGTTACTGCGAGTTCAAGGCATTCCAAAAACAAAAAAGAAAAGATATTTAAAAACTTAAACATGTAAAAAAAAAAAAAAGAAAAAAAAAACCGGTTGGTAATAAGTTACGGAAGCCCGTTGAGGCCAGTTCAGAGTGAGAAATATTTTTTATTGCGTTTAATCGCAATAATTATTGCGTTTAAACGCAAAACATTGCAATAATTATGACTTTATATAATATTGTGTTTAATCGCAATGATTTTTAGCGTTTAATCGCAATATTTTTTTGCGTTTAATCGCAATAATTGTTTGTATTTAAATGCAAAGATTATAATAAATACTACGGTCTGATTCTTTAAAGAAGAGCCGTTTGGTTTTATGTCTTTTTGAAAATGTTGCAGTTTGTGAGATTTTAAGTTTAACAATGGAATCCTAACAACCAAGTTTCTTAAAGCTATTAGAGCCCAACACTGTTAACGCAGCCATTAATCAATTCCTTAGGTATCACATTAATTGAGAATGTTTCATGGTATTAATAGACATATCAATTTGGTAGAACACATCGGCCAATCTGTTTTCATTTGATTTATTTTTGATTTCATATGATTCCATCTCATAAATTCTCGTGTTCTCGTGTTTACTGTATGTGATCAAAGGAAAGGTTGTGAATATACATATACATAATATGTACATATGTACATGTACATAAGTCGAAACATTTTATCAGTTGTTTCCTTAAGATCTTTATACAGGTACAGGCTTTTAAACCAATACCAATGATTTAACCATTCAGAAAATGCTTGTTCAGAAGAATCTGACAGTGGCGTAGCGTCCATTAAGGCAAAAAGGCAAATACCTACACATAATTTTTGGCAAAATCGACGGTCATGGTTTTTTTTTATTTAAGTAAATTAATGTAATGAATTAATTTGTCATTAATAAATAAAATCTCAAAAAAAATTAAATTCAGTACATATACATTTTATAGCTGCACTTGTAAAACATAAATTTACAGTCTTGTTTCTTTTAGTGGCGTTAGCTTATAGCAGTCAAAATGAGTACCCCCCATACAATTAATGTGTTACCGTTCAGTTAAACCAAAATTTAGTATCAAACATAAATGCAGTTTCGATTCCTTAAAACATTCTTTCCCATTTTCCGTTCGCTCAGCAGCGCTCCTTATTTATTAAATAATCAAAACAAAAAAAATTGTTTGACGCAGGTACATGTACATGCATAGGGAGAGGGAGGGAAGGGGCTATGACTGAATCGGATAAGACCGAATCTCTCTCTCTCTCTCTCAGTAAAATTTATGTTTCTATGAAACATGATAACAAATTACTTGAACACCAATTGCAATTTTTGAAAATATCAATTAATTTATCAAAGTATATGAAATAATATAAATGCCTTTATGTATCATCTTGTTCAAATAATCAAATCACGGGGAGAGGGTGTCCAAAAATAGTAATCTGCTTAATAAATTCTTTCTAACTTCAATATTTACTAGAATACATGTACATTTAATTGAGGTGACTTATATCTTGGAAACCTAAGAGTTTGTTTAACAAATTTTACAAGATCTGACGGTTTAATGAACGAAATTCCCAAAATGCCCAAATAAATACCAAATAAATACCTTCTTAACAAGCATACGTACTAGTATTTTGTTTAAATTAACAATTTTCTTCTCTCAAAAGTGC